TTATTATGGCGGTGGTTACACAAGTCTATTTATGTGACAAAATATTTCATAACACTCTACAGCAACAACAAAAAGAATACATGTAAAAATTGATGAAATATAAATCTGAATAAAGTATGTAGTTTACTTAATAGTATTGTACCAATGTCAATTTCCTGATTTTGAAATGTACTATGTTATCATTGGGAAAAGCAGGGTGAAGAACAAATGGGAACTTTTGGTATTATTTTTACAAATTGAGACAAATTATTTCAGAAACAGATTTTTAAAAAGCAGGTAGGTAGGCCACAGACTGGAAGAAGATATATACCATACATCTAACTGACAAAGAATTCGTTTCCAGGATTTGTGTAAAAAAAATTGCAAATCAACAACAAAGAAAAGCAGGCAAAATATTTGAACAGACAGTTCATAGAAGAAGAAACACTAGTGTCAATCAACATACGAACATATGAAAAGATGCTCAAGCTCAATGCTTATCAAATTAAACTACTGTGAGAGTCCATTTCATACCCAAAAATGGTCAAAAACTAAAGTCTGGCCATACCAAATGTTAGCAAAGATATAGGAGAACTGTAGAATTCTCATACAATGCTATGTGAGTGTAAGCAACTGTTATAGATTAAATTTTGTTCTCCCCCTGCCAAAAGATACGTTGGGGTACAAACCTGGAGTAACTCAGCATGTGACCTTATTAGGAAATAAGATTGTTGCAGATGTAATTAGTTAAGATGAGGTCATTAGAGTGGGCCCTAATCCAATATGACTAGTGTCCTTATAAACAAGGGAAATTTGGACACAGAGACACACACACAGGGAGAATGTCATATGAAAATGAAGGCAGAGATCAGGGTAATGCTCTTACCAAGGACTGCCAGCCAACTGCCAGAAGCTAGAGGAGAAGCTGTAGACTCTCCTGTCTACCCTGTGCTCACACTCACCTGGACAGAGGTCCAGCAGATGTTTTCTCTCCTCTCTCCAGAGCTCTTCCCCTCGCTCCAGCTGGGTAATGAGTTTTGGTTTGGAAAACAGAATTTCTGCTCATAGAGAAGAAAACATGGAGTCTTGATTATGAGCTTAAGAGACCATTCTTGAACAGAGCTAAAATGGGTGGGAAACCCCAGAGGGTACAAAGACCTACGAAGAGTGAACTCTTTGAAGGGCAAGGGTTGAGTAAGGAAAGGTTACTCCAATCAGAATCCAGTCAGAAAGACAACATATTAAAACTTGGTGGGACCAGCCAGTTAGCTCAGTTGGTTACAGCATTGTGTTAACAACACCAAGGTCAAGGGTTCAGATCTCCATAATGGCCAGCTGCCAAAAATAAAAAATAAAAAAATAACCTCGGCGGATTGAAAATCTCCTGGGTTTGGAGCAAGATAAAAAGAGAGCTCCAGCCTTGAGAAAGAGGACTGGAAGTGCAGTGTCATACATAACTTGAAAATAATCAATCTACTTGCTTTCAACTCTACTAAATCTAGATTTATCCAGAGGAGAAAGGTAAATTATTGTTTTAAGCCCAACTCTAAGGCAAGAGTGCTCCATGCCTTTCCTCATGACTACTGGAAAATACTCTGTAGGGGCAAATTTTAAGTGCCAAGGGAAGCCATTCTTACCCAGTGAGACCAGGTGGTTATAGTTCTCCAGCATCACTTCCCTGTGCAGGGTCCTCTGAGCAGGGCTCAACAACCTCCACTCCTCCTGGGTGAAGTCCACAGCCACATCCCTGAATGCCACGAATGCCTTTAACACAAAACACACCCCTGCTCATCCAGGAGTCCACTTGGCCCACAGCTTAGAATGAGAGGTCAAAAGGCTTCCCTGAGTGAGGTAGGGAAGATTTCTAGACCCCACTTTGGATTGTGATCTTGGTGCAAAGGGTTCAAAGACCATTATTCTCCTATCTATATCCAGCCAGCATTGCTTGTGGACCTAATACTGTCAATAACCTAGGCTAGCTGCTATGGGGAATAAAAGCAAAACAAAACAAAAGCCCCTACCATATAGGGAGCTTTAAAACTAGGCAGGGAGAAGAGAAAGATGTCTCTCTCTCTCTCACACACACATGTGCACACACGCGTGCACACACACATAAACAGTAATAATCATCTTGATGAGTTTGAAGAATTTCAGAGACTACTTGATCAGAGACTACTTGATTCAGAGACTACATTTATTTTCTACTTGAAGCAGTGGAGCCTGTGCGGGATGGTGGTGGTGAATAACCCACCAATATGTATAATCCATATAGCAGGACTTACTCCTTCTTCTACCTCAAACTGCCACTCGCCCTGCTCAGGCCTGAAGAGGGGGAGAGTGGACTCAAACCATTGTCTGGATTTGGAACCCACCTCTGTCCCCAACTAGTGAAACCTCAGGCAAATTACTTAACTGCTCAGCACTTCAGTTTCTTCTGCACCTTGAAGAGAACAGTGCTTATCTCACAGGTTGTTCACCACAATTGCATGAGCTGATAATTGTAAAGCATTCAGACAACTGACTGCCGCACACAGTAAGTGCTCAGGGAAAACTTCCCTGGCTATTCTGTGTAAAATTCCATCCCCTCACTTGGGTCTTATTCCCCTCTCCTGTTTCAGTATATTCCCTTTACTCTAAGATTATACATGTGTTACTCATTTTTATTTTCTAAATCCCCACTAAACTCTAAGTTCCATATGCATGGTTCACTGCATTGCCCCTATGCCTAGAACAGAACCTGCAAAGACACACCAGTCAAATATTTTTAAATGACTGAAAATGATTTATTATTATTATTCCAATAACAGTTTCAAATGAACCTCTGCTACCTAGAAAGCTATACTTTGGAGAGTGAGATTATGTAATGGTTGTTGGCATGATTTTGGTGGTCTCCAAGCCCGAATGAGCCTAGAAATCTAGTTCTAGGATCCCTCCTAGCCCAACACTTAGTGTTTATCTTTTAAAATAGGGCTCATTTAAGACAGTATTTGAGTACTACTTTTAAGTTGATGGCAGAGGAATGTACATGTGGACAGATACATGATAAAGCACATGTAGCAAAATATATATTGTTGAATCTAGGTGATGGGTATGTGAGTGTTCAATGTATATGGCTTTCTACTTTTTTTCTTATGTGTTTGAAACTGTTCATAATTAAATGTTGGGGAAAAAAAAGACTATTTGGGTACCTGCCTAGTCTCTGAGGTGATTTGATTTTACAACCCCTTCTCAGAACATACATACATATACCCCTTGAAAATCTCCAGTGAAGGAGCTACATTAGACACCAACCTATGTTATTTCAATAAATTTAACACAACTGTAGCCCTGAAACAAATCATGGTTTCTTTGAGAACCATGCAGGTAGAAGGTATGGTAAACAATGGATGGGTGGCTCCCATGATTTGCTCTTGCACTGAGTAGCAACACTGCTAGCAGCTTCGGGGACTAAAGTTAAGTCAAGGGGAGGCCTGACTGGTATAAAACCAACCCATTTCCTTGCCAGCTAAAAAAGTAGATACATGGCCAATGCTAACTGACAAGACACAGGAAGCCTGCTATAGGATTCTAGCAAAAGACTTCCTCATTTTTAAGATGGAGTAATGGGAAGCCAGCACTTTTCCTAAGGCTCATAAACATGGGCACGGATTACCCAAAAGAGGCAGCTTAGTGCTCTGGCTCTATGTGTGGTCCCTGAACCTGCAGCACAGCATCCCTTGGGAACTTGTTAGAAATAAAAATTCTCAGGCTCCATCCTGGACCTACTGAATCAGAAATTCTGGAGGCAGAGTCCAGCAATCTGTTTTAACTAGCCTTACAAGTGATTCTGATATACACTAAAGTTTGAGAACTACTTAGTGGCTTAAAGCACAAACTCTGGAGACAAACTGTTCAAATGACTGTCCTCTCTCTCCTCCGTCCCTCATAACCCTATATCAGTAACTTAACATCTCTCTCTGTCTCAATTTCCTACAAAAAGAATATTATAAGACAGTAGTCCCTTCTCCCCGACCATGGTTTTTCTTTCCATGGTTTCAGTTACCTGTGATCAACCATTGTCCAAAAATAGGTAAATATAGTACAGTAAGACATTTTGAGAGACAGAGAGACCACATTTACATAACTTTTATTATAGTACAGTGTTATAATTGTTCTATTTCATTATTATTGTTGTTAATATCTTACTGTGCCTAATTTACAAATTAAACTTTATCATAGGTATGTATGTATAGGAAAAAAATACTGTAGTACTTACCTTTACAGGATTGTGAGAATTAAACAAAGTTGCTATTAGGAAACACCCTATAACTCTGAGAGGAACCAGCCTGGATGAGGCTGATACTGTGGAGAACGGAGTGGAGTGGACAGATGAAAGAACCCCAGTCCTCGGTAAGCTTATGGGGCTACAGACCCACCCCAAAGTGTGCCCTCTCTCCAGAAGAGGGCACACTTTTATATGAATAAAGTTACTTATTGTTTAGAACAGCCTAAGTGGGGTATCCTGTTGGCTTACAGCGAAAAGCCTCCTATCTGACTGGTAGATTGTTACAGTGATGTCCCCCAGTGAATCATGCCTCCCTGTTTCTAACCTTTATGCATTCTTCTACTAAACTAACTCTGGCCTTGCCCATGTGACTTGCTTTATCCAATGGGACATTAGCAAACATGATGTAAGAAGAAGTTTGAAAGTCATTTGGGGTTGGGGCTGGCCTTCTCTCCTTATGTAGAGGAAACCTGGAGATCACCATGTGAATAACCTGAGCTTACCTGCTGAAGAGGCCACAGGAG